ATTATCCATGTGATATTCGGAGGAACATGTTCTTTCGCAGTCGCAATGAGAGAAACTTTGTCTTTTTACGACAATAGCAAAAAAGACCATGATCGTCCCAAGCACCGTCCACGCGAAAAGCCATCGGAACAGAAGAGAACTGATGCGTTCCAAGCGAGAAGTCATCGGTAATGAACGTGACAGATTCTTGGGCTGTGCCTTTTGTAGCAGAGGAGATCACTACTCAGTTTCCTGCTCAACTGTAAGCGAACCCCTAGAAACAGCTCCTGCAACGCGATGAAAACTTTGAAAATTGCCTGGAGCGCTGCAGAGGCCAACATTGCCAAAGCTCAATGCGCGCTGCTTCATTGCTGTAAGAATACCAATCATTTGGCACTATGCCACTTGTCGGACCGTAGTCGGCACTTACTGGATCACATGGTAGTGAAACAGATGGCAACAGCAAGGCGTAATGAAGAGAACAGAAAAAGCAAGAGAATTCTGAATGCTCTCTTCCGCGCATTCTAAACTCACTCGTTGTCTGGAGGTTGCAGTGACAGACCGCTACAGGCGCTTAATGAAATTCTATCATTTTTGTGAAACTGGGCAGCACCCTGCTCTCTGCGCATTATAAGGAAGATAATTCGACTTCTCGCTGCAAGCTTTGGACCTCAGCGCTGCGAAAAAGACTGCAGGAGATGGAAGGAGAATTGCCACGACTGCACAATCGAAGATTGCTTTCTGTCTGAGGATTTTAGCTTTACTCCTTTACTGCGCCGGTTAATTGCGATTCGAAATATTACTTTTTGCATTAAATTCTTCGTTTTACATTATTTATTACGTTATTATTATTATTATTATTATTTTGCAGTATTTTCATTGTTTAATCACCTGAGTTTGCTATAAATTGACTTCCGCTGGTGTTCGGTTACTACCGCAAGGCACGATCACTCGCCTAGCCGGAATATCGCAGAAAACCACGATTTTTACGCTCCTCATTCGGTTCTGATTTATCGTGTGGTTTAGCTGTTTTCGTGTAGCCTGATTCCAGCACAGCGTACAGCACTACCGAGGATATTCTTGACACGTGGCTTCACAGAGCACCTCTTTTCAGGGCACATCGTTGTTGGGGAATCCCCAACAGGGGAGGGGGGGGTCGTATTTGGCCGCCAGGAGAGGGGGGTCGTATTTGGGCTGAGAAAAATTTATTTTGATAGTTGATTTTTCTCGCTTCACGGACGTTGTAAAAGGGGGGGGGTCGTACTTGCTCATTGTTGGGAGGGGGGTCGTATTTACTTTCTGGCCTTTCTAGGAGTGGTGGTTGACTTTTCGTGATTTTCCTGTTTCATGCGTACTATATACCCCCTCCTGCACTCAGCAAAATTTTTGGGAAAAAGTAGGGAAGTTTTCGGGAAATTTTGGAAAAAGTGGCAGGAAGTTGGGGAAATCTGAGAATTGGTAGAGGGGGGGGGTCGTATTGTCTCGCGGCTTTTCCTGTTTCACATGTGCTATTACCCCCCCCCCCCCCTCGACGGCTCGATTCGATGAGGAGGGACAAGCCGGAGGGTGGGGGGTCGTACGGACTCGACTAAAATCCTCCAACCAATGATGTGCCCTGCCTCTTTTGTATGGAAAGTCGGAGTCTGCAGCTGCGGCGCTCGTGGAGGTGCACACAAAGGCCTTTCTAGTTGCGTCACTCACTTACCACTTCCCAGAATTCCCTCAAATTCTTTTGACTTAGTCGCTTATCTATTCTGAAGCTCGCTAATGTTCCAAATGTTCCAATTCAATAAGTTGAATTTAATCCATTAATTGCATATTCCCATATTCTGATTCAGTGAACGCTCACTCGAGGCAAATCATTGGTTGGGGGTTTTGGTTGAGTCTGTACACCCCCCCCCTCCTTTTTTGAGAGTTGGTACACCCCCCCCCCTTCCGGGCCTCTGTCCCTCCTCTTCGAGCTGTCGGTGGGGGGAGGGTAAATAGAATACGACCCCCTCCGCTCTACCAATTCTCAGGTTTTCCCCCAAATTCCTTTCCTTTCCAAAATTTCCCGAAAAGTTCCCTACTTTTACCCAAAAAAAATTGCAAATTTTGCTGTCAAGGGGGGGGGCATATAGTACGCATGAAACAGGAAAATCACGAAAAGTCAACCACCACTCCCAGAAGGCCAAAAAGTAAATACGACCCCCCCCTCCCAACAATGACCAAGTACGACCCCCTTTTTTACAACGTCCGTGAAACGAGAAAAATCAACTATCAATACAAATTCTTCTCAACTCAAATACGACCCCCCTCTTTCGGCGACCAAACACGACTCCCCTCCCCCGCTGTTGTGATTCCACAACAACGATGTGCCTTGCGCTCACTAGTATTTAGTTGAATTACCCAAACTTGAGGTTGGAGTTACACTTTTAGTGCTTATTTGTGTGGTTGTCTGTAGGAAACTCTATATCATAACAAGTGAACCATCGGCTGCAAGTTATTATATCGGAATTCGAGGAAAAAACCAGGAGATGCACAGTTCTCACTAACCTTGCCGCGTCTCTTTCGTTCATCTCGGGTGCAAAACGAGCTCGCAACTGTTGAATGGTCTTACCACGGAAACATGGAAGGCCAGTGTCAAGCATTAAAGACACCAACGACACAAAAGCCTGCAATGCAGTAATCGTCATGGACGCACGAGTTAGGAAAGCAAAGAGAGTGGAAAAGCAACTCTCACCTTTTGATAAGGCCGAACAGCAAGATACGCTTGTACGCAAAGCGTAGCAAACTGTCGAAATGGTGCTGCTTCCATCTTGCCGCCCATGATTGCCACCATTTCTTCGCTTAACTTGAAATCTGGTTCGAAACCAAGGTTACCACCTGGGCTACTCTCGAACATGAAACCAAAATCTAAAAAAATCCAGCTTCAGTTGAAACGGTCCAATGGAGTGATAAATGAAAGAGCATACCAATGTGAATGATATGGCCATCTAAGTCGATCATGATGTTGCCGTTATGTCGATCTTTGATTTGCAGTAAAAAGCTGAACACTGAGTAGCCCGCCATACTTCGGACGAAATTTCGGCGTGCTTCCTGTCATTCGAACATTAAAAAATATAGGCGCTGTTTTGGCGACGGGGGAGTGACATTTTGCACTTAACGATCTCCCATCGACGTGTCGACCCATCTAGACAACCTCTTCTCGAGTTGACAGGTTTTACCGTGATGGCTTGCAGCTTCACAAGAGTTCACAGGTTTCATCAGAGTGAGACTTGTAAACCAGAACTAGTGAAGCAACGAAAGTGCAAAACGCCCCTCCCCCCCCCGTCGGCAAGTTGCGTCAAAAATATATTCCATGACCGCTGAATGGGCTGAGACTCACAACAATGCGCCTTACTTCACATTCTGCCTTATTCCTTATGTACTACTCTCAATAATCAGGGCACAGCTCCCTGATTATCGGGAGGAGTACGTAAGGAGTGAGGCAGAAAAAAACACGAAGGGGGTCGCTCTTTAGCGGATGGGGAAGGTCTCGTAACTGCCCACCCCCTCCCCCAAGGAAATTCTCTGTTAGCTGACTTTTCCACTTGAGGCTCGTCAGTGACGGAACCCCAGTAGGAGCAAAAACAGCGGGGAGTGGGTAAAAGTGTCTCTAGGATGCGAGAAAATATTCTGTTAGTGAGATCTTTCCGTTCCATGCATCCATGCGCGCTAAACAGCCCCTCCCTAGCTGGACGCCCGAAACCACACACAATACAATCAATATTATTCATAGTAGACTAAGCTAGTTTTTTTGGAGACGACCACCCCTCCCCTCTTCCCGCTCGACGATAAAGTCTGTGGAAAATACATTACAAACGGAGTCATAAAAGAAAAAATCCGAGGGCGGTCCGTTTTATCGGAAATTTTACCCAAATGATGCCATGCCCTGCCTCCAATATGACAGAACGAAAGAACAGCGCGCAAATGAGAAGTTTAGCTGTGAATCCACACCCATCGGATTATCCCAAAACTCAAGTGAACTAGCAAAAATTATTATGAAATTTAGAGCTAAAATATGAACAAAAACCTGGCTTAGAACAAAAATCAGAGAAAAAATGATAAAAAGAACCTGGAATGATTCGCTGCTTTCGTCACCATATGTTGTCTTGAAATATTCGTACAATCCTGAAACAACGTCATTTCGGCTGAAAAGGTTCCCATGTAGGATGCCAGGATGCCAAATATGTCATCTGTACTAAAGGAGTCGAAGGTTCAGTATTCGCGAGCCTCCGCTCATTTTTTTGGCTTCATCGGTTAATGCGGATTGAATAGTCATGCGGGATGTTACATAAAACCTGCGAAACGTATGAGGAGGACAAGGTAGAACCGAAAGCCAACCAAATAGAAACCGCGGTCGCCAAAAATTGCGGTAGGAACAAGTAAGACCAAAATAGAACGAACCGAAGTCAGTCTGACGTCCGAGCTGGTCTCGACTTTTCGAGTTCGGTACGCATTCGATCACACCACATCCCGGTGATGTTGCAACCACTCTGAAAGAGCAGAATATTAACAAGTAAAAAACATAATCATCTTGCATTCACTGAAAATCGTCGGGTAAATGCATCATTCCGCGACAACTGAGTGGGCGGAGACTCATAACCACAACGCTTCATTGAGCGGCACTTCCACGTCTCTGCCATACTAGAATGGACGGCGTGCCAACAAGAGAGGCACAGTAGTTATGAGGCTCTGCACACCAAATGTCACGAAACAGGTCTTCATTGGGAGCCAAACTAAACGAAAAAACTGATCGTCCCCAGCAGGAAACACTTAGGCGCGCGACTGCGAAGCGACATGGCTGTGAGAGAGATTAAGGCGCAGAAATGACAAATGGTCAGAGGAAATACAGAAATGCGCTAATACTTTGCGTCAGCACTTTAAAGGCACGGTCCGCGATCAGGTATCGAAGTTGAAAATATGGCGTCAGGAGGTTAGAGTGGTAAGCGACGAACAACCTATACCGGTTTCGCGGACCGGTTTCGCGGCAAAATTTTCAAGGG